CAATCTTACTTTCTTGATGTTGGCAGCAACTTATGGTCTCTTTCCCACATTGGGTTTTTATCCAAAATATTTACCCTTAAGTCTAACGGCGTAAAAATATATAGCCTAAAGCATGACGTAAGTGTACGGCTTTTTATTAAAAAAAAGTAATTATTCAAAAATATCCTGTAATTGCTGACATCCTAGGCAACAAAGAAGTGTGTGTTTACTCTTTATTATAATACTATAGATTTTAATTTATGCAGAAAGACAACTAGTATTCTCCAAACCTATATTTAAAAATGACAAAAACGCTTTTATGCAAATAATAAAAACCTTAATTTCTTAAAAATACAATATCCACACGAACATAGTAGCGGGCAACAAGTATTATATCTCGTGAAATAAAGTTTCCACTCATAGTAATAAGTTCAATGTGAGAATCAGACTTTGATAAGATTTATATCGAAATTTCCATATCGCTAACAAGTTAAACACGTCAAGGTCGTTAAGTTACGTAACAGAAGGTTATTTTTAGTCGAGGCATGAATACATATTTACATATGCTAATTTTGTTTATAAACACTTTTACTTATTTACTGACTTTCTCGCTTGACCGATAATTTGTTTAGACAACATGACCTTTTTAGTAACTGTTGTATAAACCTGTTTGTAAATATTCACAATTTCAAAGTTAAAATTACCGGAAAAAATGTGAAAAAATTACATATACCTAAGGTAAACACGTGACAATAGTATTAGTACCTATTGTCACTATGTTATACTTTAAAAATGTCTTATCTAAACATTTAAAAATGTAAATAAAAACGCATAAAAGCATTTTTCTTACAACATTGTTGCAATGCTATGCATTCTAATAAATATCTACTATTTTTTAGTACTAAGTTTTGATGACGAAACTCACAACATTGTATTTCTCTTATCTAATAATATATTAACTTTCGCCCGGGACTCCGTCCGTGTGGAATTAGCAAATACAAAAATGTGTAGCCTATGTGTTCATCCGGACTATCCTCTACGTCTTTACCAAATTTCATCGAGATTCGTTCAGCCGTTTAAGATACAAACTCTAACAAACAACTATCTATCTAAAATTTCGTATTTATAATATTAGCAAGTAAAATAATATTTAATTTTAGATGTAATCTAAACTAATGTTGTAATGAGGAATTTGTTTTTGGATTTTTGTATGTATTGAAATAACACAAAAAACTACTGAACCGATTGCTAAAATTTCTCAAAATTAAAAAGCTAAGTGAGTAACATAGGCTATATTTTTTTATTATTTTTTAATTCCGTGTTGACGAAGTCGCCAGCAACAGTTGGTATTTAATATTTACGTTGATTTTGTAGATGTCGTTATTTATTTTGTTTACGTTTAATTTCAATGTCAAATAAGTGTTAACATATATTTTTAAGATCAGTTCAAACTGTATGAGGTGAAGGCAATAAGTCGTAGGTTTCTGTCTGTCCTTGACTCTTGATATTTCAATTTACATTCACCAGTCGCATATCTTTACAGATAGTAAGTAACCGGACATCTTACTGATTAATTTTTATTAACCGACCTATATTTACATATATATCTATACTAATATAATCTTTACTAATGTAATAAAACTTCAACACCTTTGTTATGTAAGGCCTAATTTTGGTCTCTTTCCCTTTCCACCTTTTTCTTAAGAGGAAAGGATGGGAAGGAAAAGTGGATTCGACGGTGGAGAAGAGGCATAAGAAGGGGAAATGTCCTCTTTATGTGCGTCTCCTTCTTCTTCAATCAAGGGTAGGTAACGCTTCTGCAATTGCGGATGTTTTAGGACAGCGGTCGCTTTCCATTTCGGTGGATTCAGGTGACCGCTTGTTCGTTTGCCACCTTATATTTTATAAAAAAAAGATATCAGCAAACACGGAATGTTTTAATAATTCTTTTTTTAAAATAAAAAGCCCTAAACTTACATACATGTTTGGACTACATATTTTCACGCCATTAAAATTAGGGGTTGAGTATATTGGAAAATATGCTTATGACATTTACAATTGTACGTTTATTCAAAATGAACAATACAATAAAGTTTTTATAATGTCATGCGGATGCCGCACGGGAATAGATACTGTAGTATAGGTACATCGATGCCTTTATAAACAACATTCAGTCGAAACAGCTTCAACTATGTTGAAGTATGAGTTTTATTCTGTTCATTTTCTTTCCCTGACTATTGTACAAGGAAACACATTCCTAGTTTCTTTAAGTTTCTACTTCATATTCTAACTAAATACAATGAAAACCACTTCTAGAAACTATACTATTTGATAAATAGTAATAATATTTTTTTGTTTATAAACATTTACCAGTGTTTACATTGAGAATATCGTCAACAAACAATCGGACAATCCGATCAATGTTCCGTATATACAATCTATTGACATATTTGTTTGTTATCGTTACAAAGCAAACATCTATTGTGATTTAGTACTTAGAGTATGTGACTTCCGATAGATATCTTAGATAGTTATACCAAAAATCTGTACAAAAGAAACCTTTTTATATTATATCGGCTTTTCACCGTTGTTTTATTTTCGACTGAATGGCCAGTGTTTGCCTTGAAGAGGCATTTACAGATTTACCAGGCTTGAAGTGACCGAGCGCAGATAGCGCTTAGCCTAAACCTCGTTTTTAACCGTTGTGTTTGTGATTATGCAATTTATTTACATTTAAAAATACACAGGCAAATGAGTGACAGGAAGAGAGAGAGATGGGAAAAATAACTAAAGAATCTTGTATGGGAATTGTAATAGCACAATACGTACATAAATATTTAACGGCGGCAATCGTTACCTACGAGGAAATGTCGTAATACAACGATCGCTCCAAATGCATTAGCACACGAATATATTCAATTAGAAATGCCCTCCTTTTACACTGAATAGAAACACTGACCAGATTCAATGCTCAGATTTATTTACCATGTTCTCTTAAGGGTGTGATATGATTATGTATTTTATTATTAACTAGCTGTTGCCCGTGACGTCGGCTGAGCGGCATTAAAAACTTACTAAACCGCCTGTCTTTCAAACTCTACATTTGTGCCAAACTTTACTGAGATTAGTGATGCCGTTTTAGAGATACTTAGTAACATAATGTTTATTGCTTTCTAACTTCGTGTTGAATAAAAATGTTGTATTGCAGAGTTTTAAAATCACGTATTTGAATCATCCTTCAGATATTAAAATCGGTGTAGCAATTATAGCAGTTACATTAATAACGGTTATTGTTACATCAACAGTTGTGAGGATAACTGCGTCATAATGAGGCATGCACCGGAACTAATTTGTGATAAGTCAGCTGGTTGTAGCGAACGTGAATACTACGCATGTACAAAATATAACGTACATGTAGTTTTTGCTATTAGAGGTTCAGATTCGATCCCCGTAAACCAATGTGTTGTGGCATTTTTGTGTAGTTACAATAAAGAAGTCGCCATTTTATCCATACTAATATAATAAAGCGTAAACTCACACTACTTTGTGGCGTATGATGTCAGCAATAACAGCATATTTTTGAATAATTCTTTCTTTAATAATAAGCCCTACACTTACGACACGCTTTAGGTTATATATTTTCACGTCATTAAACTTAGGGGGTAAATGTTTTGGACAAAAACCCTACTGTGGGAAAGAGACCATAAGTTGCTGCCAACATCGAAAAAGCAAGGTTTCCATCGTCATGTCATTTTGACATTTGCAATTGATAATTTGACACTTGTAAACAATAAAATTAACATTTTCATAATTTTATGCGGATGAAGATCTAGTTGATAGCTAAGTGACAGTTCAATTATTAAAAAAGATTATAGACTATTTGACATCAGACTGTGACCTTTTTGTTCCATGAAATACGGTAGCGATGGATGAATCCGTGGAGAACTACTTTATAAAATAAGCCTGTTAAACCGGGTTCGTTTCGTCACTTCAGACCAATTACGCCGAAACTAAATGGAACAGAACAATGGGGTAGGACGTCTCTTGAATTGACTGAGCAAAAAACTCGTTATCGTGAGAAATAAGTGGTAAAGGAGGCTTTTGTTTGGTAACGCAACAGAGCATGCATAAATAATTTGTATGATAATTATATAGGTTGTTAAATAAGGCCCTCTACACACTCAGTAGTAATCGAACATTCGAACAATTCAGTAAAAACGATATTTGCATAGAAAAAATTTTAACTGTCAAATCTTACAACTTTAAAAGATATAATTAAGCTAGAAATAAAGAATTATGTTTATAATGTTTTACCATAAACACTTGACACTGGCCCAATCCGCCATAAACAAGAAATAGAATAGAATAATGTTCATTAAAAATTAAAAAGTATGCGATAAAAAAAATAATTTCTACTTTCAACACACAACTATGTTACACACTACTAAACATAAAATCAAATATATAAGCTGGTATGTAAAGGCATTTCAAAATCAAAGCAGTGAAGGAAAAGTGTTTATCTGTCCTATTTAAATTTGTAAATTTCAAGACAACAGTCGCAAGCCGCGCGATTTCCTACAACAAGCGTACGTATTGTTTACCTTATTTTGTATTCTAATTCGTCGTGTTAAAGTTTATTTTATCCATTCAAAGTACACGGACGTAAACTCAAATCTATCACACGAGATCAAATAAATAGGTACTAAGCACAACCTTTCCCAACTTAACCGGTTTACGCCGCGGTCTTTTTGATGTCGGTAGTTATTAATTTAATTTTCTTTATTACCTTTTTTTATTATAAACAGAATTTAAAATTCTGCTTTTACTTTTTACTCTTTTCTTATTATTAATCTAGTTATGTATTAAATAAATAAATTTTAAAACCATTTTAAATAACAAATATAATAATGAAAGTCGTTTTAAAAATACGACATTAATAAATAAAATAAATAGATAAATTAATTAATTTACAACAATTAAAACAGTATACCTTAAATGAATTAATAAATTTTAATACTTACGTAAATAACTTTATAAAAAAAAATCTTGTCACGAACCTAACCGTTCATCACTTTTCACAATTGCGTTAGATGTCGACACTAAATCGCGTACGTCCAATCCGGACGTCTATAGCGTACTGCAGTGGCGTTTTGCAAAACTGCGCTAACGCAGAATCAAGCGAACAAGACCTCAGATGTTGGCCAATCGTGCCGCAACACCGAACACCAAGGTGGCCCGCATTCGCCGCCAAAAGTCACTCTACAAACGTTGCATAGATTCTTTTTGTTTCAGCCTATGTCTGGCACTGATCACAATGGTGCTATTGATGATGTTTGTACAAGTCATAAGTAACCTTTTGTTGACTTCCCAAAAGAAGGAGTTTACCAAATCGGCTGTACACGAGTATACGTATTTCTATGTGTTACTTTATTGTGTTTACATATTGAAAATGAATCTTCTCAGTGTTGTCATTTACAAAACAAATTGTCATCGATATGCTATCTCATTTTTATTACTTTTTTATTACATTTTTTATTGATTTATTCAAAAATAATACGTGACAATGTCATTCCTTGCTGACAGGGTTTTAATGTGTGTTTTTTTTATTTTACAGGTAACAATTATTTTGAAGGAAAACAGTATTCGAATGTTTAAGTTATTATTCACAACAATGATCTTTTGTACAATTTCCTATTTTTTTTTCCGTGATTTAATAAAATCAATTTTAATGCAAAACAACTCAATTTCGAAATATAATTCGATATTACTGGAGAAAATTAAATCGATTTAAGATATTCAGTTACATAATAAATAACAAAAAATAGTTAAATGTATACTAATATTATAAAGAGGAAAGATTTGTATTTTTGTATGTATTGAAATAACTCAAAAATTACTGGGTCGATTTTAAAAATTCTTTAACCGTTAGAAAGGTAATTTATCTGTGAGTAACATAAGCTAAATTTTCACGGTCAAAATCGCGAGCAACAACTAGTTGTAATATAAAAATGTTCTACACAAATAAAATTCGTTTTATACAAGCAGTAATTTTAACATAATAAGATTAAAACAAGTGTTAAAAACTGTGTCAGATTTATTTACCAACAACCTTAAAACACGAAAGATTATTAACAATTTACCTTATCTTATAATTTCAAGATAAGACCGTGTTTTAGTAAAGGAAATGTTTTTATTGAATGAAACAGAAACTTCAAGTTACCTAACAATTTGAAACTTGATTTAACTTATAAATTTTTAATTATCTTATTATTTTTAAATGTTTTTAGTGTTTATTTATTTAGTGGTATATTTACATTTGTGGTTTTCTGTAAAAATAAACTATATCAATCCAAGAATTTATTCTAGATTATTCCGATCACAGAGTGAAATCAAGTATTGAATTCTAGCAAGTATTTTAACACGAAGTGTACGCACATCGTGCGTATTGGTAATCCCGCAATGACCAACCAACAGTGACTCACTGATCCAATGAGAATCTAACTTTAAACTAAAAATATAGTATTATAAACGTCAATATAAAAAAAATATTACACGAGGGGTAAAAGGGTCGTTTATTATTATGTGGTCGAGCTATAGATTGTCCTCGGATCTTAAGGTATCTTAAATATTATACAAATGAAGAATTATAAATAAAAAATGATAACCAAATATTATCGTAATAAAAAATGAATTATTTCAAACCTAATAGTGTCAAAAGAAAATATAAAACACTTAGCAATAAAGCGAGGTCAATTTTTATCAATTACGAATAAAAATAATAACGTACTAAGATAATAATTCTAGTGTGATTTAATAATAATAATAAAAAAAAAACCTTTGCAGAGATTTCTCGTTGTAACATCAGTTGAGACAAGTTCTTACATTTTAATGCAATTTCACAAAGTGCTAGGGATCCCCTGATTTTTCCTGTCCCTTACTGTTCTTTGGATTTTCCTTACAAATGTAGGAAGGCTGTGACTTAACTCAGCGAAGGGAACTGCTTATAAAACAGTCCATAGTTTGTTAGTCTATGTTTTGTTAATGTCGTATCAAAATTTGTTAACAACCTCAGTTCAATTCAGTTTCTTGTCTATGGCACTCTCTTAGCGGATAACAATCTCATCTTGTTTACGACTTGTCAAGAATTTTCTTCGCACTTACATGGAGTCTATCGAGTCGCCAAGTTGTGCCAAATCACCGTAAGTGGCTGAATAGATTTATTAAATACAATTATTTTATCATATTACTGTGTAATAATAAAAAGTAGGTTAAAATACTTAACACTAGACAACTTAATAAAGTAATTACAAGTTATGATATCGCGAGTTAGAACCACTTAATTACTAATTTTCTTATTAAGGCGTCAAAACAAGCTTGTAAAGTCGGATTAATCTAACATTGAGTCAGATTTATCGGAAAAGTTACGAGTTATTTAATTATTATTAATCGAATTTCTAATAAAAATAATTAACTAATTAAGCTATTCGGAATTATAAATATTTTAACAAGCAATGAAATACACACTATACTACACATACATTGTTAGTTATTTACTATCTACTATTACTATTTACTATTGTTAGTTACTATCATACTAATATTATAAATGCGAAAGTTTAAACCAGAGAGTGTTAAGATTGAATGTGGATGGCTACAAAGAAAGAGGAAGACCGAAGAAAGTATGTATGGATTGTGTGAAAAAGGATCTGCTTAAGAAAGGAGTGGATTCAGATATGACGGCTGATAGAGATGTATGGAAGAGTAGCACATACTGTGCCGACCCTCCATAAGGGATAAGAGCAAGTGGATGATGATTATAAATGCGAAAGTTTAGATGGATGGATGGATAAATGTTTGTTAGAGTTTGTAACGTAAAGGGCTGACCGGATTTCGATGAAATTTGGCATATACGTAGAAGATAGTCTGGAAGAACATATGCTACTCACTTTTGTGTTTTTTTAATTCCACGCGGACGGAGTCGCGGGCGAAAGCTAGTCTAGATATGACATGATTTTGCTAGCTTTGAAATAAAGGCGGAAGACGTTGTCTACTTAATCTTAGTTGTGATAGTCGTAAATAAGCGTGAAGGAAAATAGTTTTCCACATATTCAGATTAAGCGATTAAAAATTTAACTTAAATGAAAATCATACCAAAAAGACTGCCTAATTTATAGAAAAAATGTAAAAAGGAATTACTTGACAGAAATTTACTGTGTGACATTTGAAAAACTTGGAATCGTCATAAAAGGTCAAGACAAGCTTAAATACTGGCCGCAGACTTAACTTGAGTCTGCGCCCTAATTAAATAGTGATAACCAGCAATCATTTCGTATCGATATCGATAAAATTTCATCAACAGTGTTAATATTAATCAAAACATTGTACTATTTACTATTTTTTCCCTTTTATTTAGAAAATATTTAACAGTTTTGAGAAGTCTCCCCGCTTTTATAATCAACCTAGGAAATTACTATTTAGGTAAACGAAAATGACCCATTACTAGATCCCTCAACCATAAATTAAATCTCATCATCATCATTCAAAATTTCGAATCAACATTCCACCGCAAAATATTCGCAAAAGTATTCGAGAAAAAATCACAAGCTTGTTGTTAACAATAGAATTGCATATGTTTTAAATTATTCTCATATGTGTTCATGGTACATCACTAGTTACGTACGAAAGAGGTACAAGTTTGTCAGTGACGGCTCCTGCTATTATATTGAATTGTTCAAAGTTCATTGAACTTGAGCGTTGATACATCGGCTGAAGGAGAAAATGCGATTTATTTCAAGTATCAATTCTTATCTTAAGCAGTCTCTAGTTAATCATGTCATGGAAATAGCACAATGATTGTTAACGTAATTAACTAAATCGAGGTTTTTAAAATATTTGTTAAACAAGTTAAGACTCCTCGTACAATATGAAATAAGGCACTCATTACTCACTATGAAATTCTGAGTGCGATAGTTGTTTCTAAAAACCTCTTATACAAATCATTTAAAAACATAAATATCTTTATTTTTGTATGTATTGAAATAACTCAAAAACTACTAGGCCGATTTAAAAAAAATCACCAATCAAAAACTACGCTTTTACTGAATAACATAGGCTTTACTTTTTATTACAACGCGGACAAATTCCCGAGTAACATATAAAATTAGACAAAATCTTAACGAAATTTTCTTACTTTTAGGAATATGTAAAAGTTTTGACTGTAAATGTGTAACAAATACGTTAAATTGTCGAGGAAAAATATTGTGAAAGTATCTGACAGACTTGTTAGTACTAAGCAAATATCCTAAGTAATCGTGTATCAATTTGAGGTACAAGGGGTTTTTCCCCGCGTCCTCGTGACGTCTTCAATATTGAAGGAAGCACTCGAGTTTCATCAGGATAAAAATAGAAATACAAGAAAAATAAGTGAACGTGTTATTTTATTACGTTAATAACCGTGACATTAAGAGCTTATTAATATTAAAAAGCTTTATATTTCATATAATAAATTATTGTTTTAAAATGTGTTAGAATTGAAAAAAAAAATGATTTAAAATTTTTATGTTGTTTATTAAATCGGAAATAAGTTAACAATATTTTAAATGTAGATGACGAAGAATATTTTATTTAATTATTACAGTTAAATTATTAATAGAAATTACACAAAAAAAATGATTTTACCTTATGTAATTCCGGTATATTTCAAAAGAGTTGTCCCACATAACCTAAGCAATCCGGACTTGCATCGAGGGTGAAGACGAAAATTTATTCTATCCGACACTAGCAAGAACCGATACCGACGGATAGGCATTTCGCTGATCGTGTTTTGTATGAAGATGGACTTCAAGGGAAAAATGCCGTCACAACGCAACACGCTCACTTCTATTTTTTATTGTAAACAAATTTTTATTGTCGTGAAAGTGGCTATAGTTATCTTTATAACGAAATTCTTTTAGACCGCAATTAAAACATAAATGCTAAGGTCATTTATTAATAAAAGCAAAACTATCGACACATCACGCAATCTTTTTTTGATATCGTTTAATTTTAAAAGGAAATGGCAGTTACGATCGAAACATTTTTACAAAACATACTTTACCATAAAAATACTATATTTTTCGGATTAACACTGTTTCGTGGTCTCAGATTTATGGAGAG